TTGGCACGGTGGCACGCAAAGGTTGCTTAATTTTACTTCTTGAAGCGCGCACATAGTGCGTCCAGTAAATAGGCACTACTTGTGGTAAAAAAGAGGGTAAAAGAGCAAGCAAAAAAAGATTCATCCGCACGAGCTGCTCCCCCCCCCAAAAAAAAAATTAAACATTTAGGGTTGAAATTGAGCGTGATGTCTGAGCCCTTGGACCCACTGACGTGCGGGCCAACGTGACGGCTGCGAAAGCCGACAATGATGCTACTTTTTTGTTTTACCTATTTAGGCGTGTGGTTGACTAGATTGATTGATATGTAGGGTTTAACGTCCCGAAACCACCATATGATTATCAGAGATGCCGTAGTGGAGAGCTCTGAAAATTTCGACCTCCTGGGGTTCTTCAACGTGCACCCAAATCTGAGTACACGGGCCTACAACATTTCCGCGTCCATCGGAAATGCGGCCTTCCTGTCGGGATTTGATCCCGCGACTTGCGGGTCAGCAGCCGAGTACCGTAGCCACTAGACCACCGCGACGGGGCGCGTGTGGTTGACTAAGACGGCTCTGCAGGGCTTATCTAGGAGACGCATACTTGAACGTATTATCGACGATGAAACACAACTGGTCATTTTCGTTAAAGTATAATGCATTTTTTTTCAGAGCAATGATTTAGGAAGAAAAAGAAAGTGCCGTAGTGAAGATATACCAGTCTGCCAGGCAATATATATATATATATATATATATATATATATATATATATATATATATATATATATATATATATATATATATATATATATATATTGTTATATAGCAAGATGTTGCACCAGATTTGGCCCTCTTTAAAGGCTTCAATTGGAATAATAAAGCGCCAGAGCGCACGAGGTGCACGCGTATACTCACAACTCTTGTCATCGAAACGACGTGCTCACACTAACGTCTTTCCCTTGTAACACACATCAGTGTGAAATAAAGTAACAGTATATATGCCTCAAAACTAAAGAAAAATCTTCAAAAGCACCCCGCCATTTTGGCGAGTTAATACACATCACGGTTGCGAAAGCTAAGAGAAGCGTTAGAAGAGAAAAGGAAAACCACAAACAGAGATAGTTTGTTGCCTCTGTTTCCTGCAACGCAATCTCTGCGTTTTTTTTTTCTTTCGTTTTTTTTTTTCTGCTTCAGTTGTAATTTCCCAGCCAAGAGCAGTGTTGTTATCTTGTTGCGTGAGCCACGCCGCGTTTTTTCGGGTATTTTTGCTTGTACCTATCTGCTGCGCTGCTTGAAGAAACACTTCGCAATGTGTGCCCACAAATATGGCCTACCCAGACTACCTAATTTGATTGGACTGTCATGAGCATACAGCCACTGTTGCACACGTGTTAACATGCGCGCGTGAGGTTTAAAGTTCCTCGAAGCGTCAAGGTGGGTGTCTATACGTGAGAAACGGAAAGAGGTGGTTCGCCAGGCCGCTCAAGCTGTGCTTACCGTGAATCAAACGGCAAGCGTTAAGTACGACAAGGCACCAGTGAGTAAAAATGCCGTGGAAGCGGAATGTTGCGGGCACCGCATCGTGATGAGGTGCATGCTAACGCACATTTAGAGGCACGTAAATAATTACACTAATATAGTAAGATGGGTACCAGCTTATCAACTAAATTGCCGGTGCGCACCACCTTATCAGAAATTGGCAGAAAATCTAAAAATGAAGGAAACGAAGCCGCGAAGGAACTTATACTTGCAAAATACAATATAATATAGATGTTAGTCGATGAATCTGTTTGACTCTCTGCTCCAAACAGGGCAATAAAGCGCAGTGGATGAGTACTTGAAATACTAAATATGAAAAATGTGGCTGAAAGTAAATAAACAATGAACAAAATAAATATCAGCATTACTGGCCACTAATTAGGTCGATACGCTGATCCACGTCTCGCTGAAAGAGGCTTTATGTTATTGCAAAAACGCGGAAGCAAAATAAAATCCCCGACTAATCAAACTGCGCTGCATAGCAGCACCCCTTTCAACAGCAACTATAATCTGGCTAAGAGAACCATTATCCCAGCAGGCAATCGATTAGAAAAAGATGAAAAAAAAAACACGTTCTACACTGAAGAAGTGATTCTGCCACTTCGGTTGCTTTTTTTCACTTGTCCCGGAAAAATGCGCCTTTTGGTGTAACAGGTGTCATGTCAACGAACGGGTCCTGAAAATTTTCGGATTCAACTTGCATTGTTTTGGTGGAGGCACTGTAGCACGTGATAATATGTGATGAGTTTTGTGGAAACTTTTTCTCAGCAAACTTCAACACATCATTTGTCTGCGCGACGAGCACAAATTTAATTTGCGCCCTTGTATAGCAAGCAGATATACTCTCGTTCGTCGTTATTGTCCCTACACAATGAGTGGTTAGTGTAACACGGTATGATGCAGTCGCTTACATTGGGGATCTGCCACATCAAAGACTTGACCTCTATATAGTGAACAAGCTGAATTGCAGATTTGTAGGACTAGTTGGGCCGAGCGAAGGAAGGGTTTGTTCCGAAAGACGAAAAAAATGCTATATACTCTGTGACATGAGCGCCCCCAAAAAGACTGCGTAAAGCTTGGTCGTATTTGTTCCCATGAGCTTTGCGATTCAGACCCTTTGTCCGCCAAGACCGCAGAGATGTCTCATTCTTTCTCGTTCCGTGAACATTTCACCCTGTGCAAGAGACACGCTCGCGGTGTCGTTGCCGTGCAAACAGGGGTGCCACGACTTCCGGCGTATTTGTCGCGGCCGCATAAACGTGGACCGCCGTTTCGGAAACGGCTTTCACCCCGCTTTTCGCACCAGGCCTGTCTCATGAACGGCGGGCCGAGCAAACATCGCCCACCAAGGAGCCACGCGAGTTTTGTCCGTTCGCGGCACAGTAGCCGTTTATCGCTTGAGCGTGACGGCGGCTCGACAATGCCGCTTTGCCATGGCTTTGCCCTCTTCGCAGCGTCGCACTCGAAGAAAAACGTCACTGGCGAGCCCGCCTGGGCTCCTTCCGGTTCGGTCGTCGTGCTCTTCTTCTTCCCGAATAAAAATACAAAGAGTAGTGGTGCAAGCGAACACAAATTCGTGGCATCCGCGCTGCAGCCGATAGTGCTTGCATTCAGTTTCACACGAATGTTACTACATCTATATAGTTGTACGAATCAGCATTGGAAATCAGGGTCCTTCTCGCGCAATGTTCTTTGCGGTTCGCTACTTTTGTTACCCACTGCCTTAGCTTTGGGGGTATCTGCGTTGCACCTATACCCGTTCTAAGAGGGAGTCACGAGTGCATTCTTTCTTCTCTAAACCTAACCAAGGGTTGCTGCACTGCAGATTCAAACACGAAATCAACTAATCCTAATGTTTCATTTTAGAGCATTTATTACTAGCTGATATGTATGAACATCTGAACGTAGCGTCAATTGAATATGAAAGTGTATTTCTTTAGCGGCCAGGTCAAATACACATAAATAAAAGGAAGCTGTTTGGGGCATACCTTTATATTGATCTATAAGGTTGTTTGATGCCGACCATGTCTCTTCATCTGCTAAATTAGTTGTAGCTGTTTGCTGAACGTTATACACCTCGGACGCCGTAAACCAGTCTATTCATGGTCACCTGATGAACCTTTGAAGAAAGGGTATCACTATATTTTGCAACAAACGCTGCAACGACATAATAAAAAGAGAAGCTTGACAATTCCATGCTTTGTTCCCCGTTTGCGAGCTCACACAGCCATGAAGCCGAATGCTGAAGACACTAGCGCCACAATCTCCGCTGGTATTTCAAGCAAGAGACAACCTACTGCCATCACGACCTCCAAGACCCGTCCGCCTCCGCCATTCTCACACTCCGGCGCAGCCACGTCTGTCGAGGCCATGCATTCATTCACATCGTCACGCTTTTGATCGACGCAATCATGGCATGGCTGCAGTGAAATGCGGAGGCACTAAAGGTACGCTTCGAAAATATAGAATATAACTAGAAAGAAGGCAGATTCACGAAGCTTATAGTTCGCGATCTTTGTTGGTCGTTGTTACCGGCGTTTTGTTATGAAACAGGGGAAGCGAAATGGACCCCTCATTCGCTAGTTTACCCTGATATATTTAGTCATTTAGGTAGCCTTAGCAACCGTACTAAAATAAAGTGAAACGCGCTGTTTTACAGCCACGCTTCTAGAAGATACTAATATGCTGGTGCACTCAAAGTTAGAAACTATTTTTCTTGACTACAAAAAAAGAAAGAAGCGATGGAACTCTCCCTTCATATTTGACATCATTCTAGCTAGCAGTGACGGTACACGAGGAGTATCACTGAACCTTCTCAGAACAGTCCTACGGCGCCTTTGTGAAATAGCGCCAAGGTCTACAAAGTCAGGGCTCACCGTCTCTTACAGGGTAAAAAGAAAAAAAAATGCGACTGCTTCGCGCTTGCACCGACAAAAAATCTGCTTAATTATAGGCTTCTTCTTTGAGTACTTTTTGTTATTTTTACGTTTTTTTTCTTCATAAATGCCAGAAATTGCAAACGCTTTGAAGTCTGGAAGCCATGAGAGCCCGAAGGCAATGTCTTGCGGGATTTATCAACACATTGACTAGCACTGCGAAAAGTGTTACAGGGTGATCTAACTGGTCCTGAAATTATTCTGCCACCAACAGCCATCGTCGCGAAAAGCACTGTTCAATGGTAACATAAACGTAAAGACATGTTAGTAGTTACATGTCGTGTTCGAAGTTAAATAAATCAAAGCTTGGGTGGGCTTCATAGAAAGCAACAAGAACGCAAGAGCAAAGGCTGATCTCAGTAATTTCGAGTACAACGCAAATCTGTTGAACTGCCAAGGTACAAGTGAGACACTTAAACGAGTCTATACAGTATATTTGCACTTGTACGGTATATACAGAGATAAAACAAACAAATAAACAACCAAACAAAGTCGCGGCCTATGATCTCACACCATACAATAAAACAAAAAAGAAGGTCCACAAGATTTCTGAGTATATTTTTATTGAAAAACAAAATCCAAAAAAGGCCCAAAGCAAAAAAACTTTGTAGCTTTTATACAGAAAACCAAACAGTTACAGCATGCCTTTTTTTTTAACAAAATGAACTGCCAAACAGCTAACAAAATGTCACGTGTCACGAAGAAAAAGAAATCATGCGCTACATTTTTCTTTTGTCTCACTGCACATTTTGAGCTAGTTTAAAGTTACGCCAACCATTATTCGAGTTTTATGAGCAACAGGACAACAGAGGCACTGACATCAACTTCAAGAAACACCACCAATATTGAAAAGCACGTCCGATATCACGTGCACTGTAACAGACTACTTGTGACGGCATTCTCACACAACGCCGAAGAGAATGTGGAAGGAATACGGTTGACACGCGTATGGAGCACGAACATAAGTAAACAAGAAAGAACATCAAAACAAAACTGATAGTTGGACTTGTGCATACGAACCACTGACCAGCAGTCGCTTTCACATTGGCGTTTGGAGACACATCAACCGATGCGCGTGAAACGATGTATAAATACATTGTGCGCACACACTGAAACACGGCGAATCATAGAACTGCGAGAACAACGGAAGCGAAATGTACAATGAAGAGTGGCCCTTTGAGAGAAAACAAAAATCAAAGACAAGAAAGCACGGCTTCCCGTACGACGCCGAGACAGTGAGCGTCAGGATGATTATCTCCGTCGGTTGCCCTGCAATTCGGTGCACCTTGTTCCCTCAAGAAGGAACTCAGAAAGAGCAATTGTACGTACAACAGCAAAAAGAAAAAGGCAGCATGTTTATCCCCTCTCTCTGTATAATCAACGAGGTGAAATGCACTGTCAAAGGCAGAACCACCCCGTGAAAGGCTCCGCTGAGAGGAATGATCGAATCAAATGGTTACGCAAAGGGCTCTCAATAAGTTCCCAGGAATAAACAGTCCCCGCGTATATGGAAGGAGCTCGCAGGGGGACTTTCTACGGCGGTGTGTTTACAGCAAAGCAGTGGTCGTTACAACTTCAATTTTGCACCTCCAGTGAATCATGAGGTCGTAGCTCCAGAAAGAAAAGAAAAATGCTCCCTGAGAAAAGTTGTTCGGCTCTTTTCACGTCACTTGGGCTGAGTGTTTTCAACTTGTCACAGCATTTCTCGGTATAAAAGTGGCACGTTTGTGAATACACCGTGACGTCCGCGGGGTTCGTGCGGATTATAGTGTCTAGAGCTAAAGTACGGTGGCGGAATGCCTTCAATCTAGGCTGGATTTTGTTATACGAATCGATACCGTGGTACTTTAAAGCACCGAGGGTGACCTTCAGGACACGTAGGTGGAAATAACATGTCCTGAAGACTCTTAAAATTGTGAAGCAAAAAGAAAAATAGAAACACTCCTCACGCAGTGCTGCTAGACCACGGCGCCATCGATACGTCATCGATACCACAGTAACAGTTGCGTTAGAAGGAAACGCGGCTGCTATGACACCACGCGCGCTGACGCGTGATCAGCGTGAACATTGAAGTGTTCACTCGGTTTTACTGGGAACTTAGTGACCAGCCCCTGCTGTTTCAGGAGAGCGGATTGCTTACTCTTACACCTCGGCCCATCAAACACGTCGACTGGCTCTTACAAGACAGGGACGTCCGAGCTTTGTTTTTTCCCGCGGATTGAATCGCGTTCAAGCTTGCTGTTGTCCCCGGCAATGTAAATAGCCGCGACGAAAGAAATGAAACTCCCCCACCAGTTCCGTGCCGAGGGCACCGATCGCGTCTACGACACATGGCCTCCGTGTCTGCGTTGCAGTGCAAGCACGCGTTCCGACAGGCGCCATGGCGAGAAAGCGACGGCCCACTGAACTATGTACGAAAGAGAACAGAACCAGAGCCGAGGGTACCGGAAGGTGTAGCGTCCCGCTCAGAGGACGTGGAGATCGTCGCAGGACCGCGATCGCGAACAGGCCTTTCGCAGGAACCGCTTAAGGAAGACCTTGGCCTTGCACCCAGAGAAGGATGACGTGCAGCTGGAGTTTCGACCCCGCATTCGGACTGACTCGCGCTTACAGCTCTCCTTGTAGCTGATCTGATTCTTCAGACGAATCTGGTGCAGGAGGCCGGCCAGGAGCTCGTCCACGTGGTGGTTGATGCACGCTGACGTCTCGATAAACTTGACCCGCTCGTTGGTGGCCAAGCAGCGCCCGTCTGAGAGAACGAGCAAAACAAAGCGGTATTTTTATGCTGTGTCATTGCCATGAGCGATAGTCAGAATGTTTGATTCTACCAAAGGTCTATCACTCGATTACCCAGAGAAATGAGACATCAAGAAACCGAATTTCTGGGAAACAATATTTGGGCTCTTTTTTTTCCTTTGATATGCTATCTAGCAAGGTGCCTAAATCGTTGGTCATTATGTAATGCGTTTACTTCACTCCGCTATGGGCATTCAAGTTCAGTTTCCAGAGTAAGTTAACACACGCACATAAAAAGAACAAAACTAAAAACAAAAGTGGAACCTCCTAGGAAAAAAAAAGCCGCAAATACAAAAAACTAGCAGAGGTGTGGAAAACAAGAGCAAGAGCAAAGCTTCCTACACAGCCGAGCTGCAGCAGCGTGGATGTCGGCATATATGCATTCAGCTAAGCCTTTCAGCGCGCGGTTCGATGTCTGGGCGAAGGTCGAATAAAAGCTATAGCGCCAGAAAGGCGAATGTATACATGCTATAATGTGGGGACGGCTGCTGAATGCATATGAATTAGCGCATTTGCACCTGCTAGATGCAGCCACGGGTAACACGATCTTCGTTTTTTTTTTGTTCTTGTTGTCACTTTTGACTCTTTTTTAACAAGCTTCGCCCAAGCAATAAAAATACGCTCACATTCAATGTCGACTATCGAGCCATGGGCCGCAAAATGCTTCACTGCAGTAAGCCAAGCCTATATATAGATACGCATGTTGACGGCATGGAATACGCCCATCGACGGATATTTAGCGTTGTTTGGCATTAATGGTTGTTTGCCTGAGTTGTAGGTGCTAAACTCGAACATCGAAACAAAAGCTCCAGCTATCATCTTTTACTGACTACTGCAACAAATGTTGGCTTTACACATTTGTAGAAATATTCGCCAAATAGCGTTTCTGAAACCAAGGGGACGAAAATGGCCTGCACACTCTGCATACGATCATCGACAATCCCCTGTTTGCTTAGCTGCAGCTAAGCCCTGAAATCAGCTAGAGACTGCGCAAGAAACTCAAAGACCGAGATAGAAGTGCGCGGTCGGCCAACCACGATGTAATACGCACTAAATTATGTCCTGAAGAATTAATGAACTCTCCCACCTAAGGAATGAGCATGGGGGAAGAAATATTCCACTGTTGCCCAATATAGCCATATTCCAGTGATTCGGCTACGCACGAAAGCAATGGGAAGGAGGGAACAGTCCGCTTAAAAATTTAATCCGCAGTCGCTGAGTCTAAATCGATGAGCGCCGTACGAGCGTTAACCAGTGAAGGCAGCTACGACTTACTTATTGGCTCATTTCTTTAGCAGACACCAGGAATGCAGCGCGTGCCGCTCACGATGAGCCTCAGTAGAAACAGCCTCACATTGCACGGCGAGAAATACTGAAGCCTAAAGTATATACTTAGCGTAATACGTAGGGCTTTACCCTTTCAATCGAAGACCAGGACGGATCGTATTAACATTATCTGAACAGCATTTTTTTTTTGTTTTCGCTAGCTTCCTTATGCGGGCTTTAGGAGTAATTCACTAACGTACAGCTTCCCAGACATACGACCGGGCAACAAGAGATGAGCGCCTTTCAGATTTCTTGCTTTTCCTTTCTATATTTATTAACGCTTGCAGCTTGTCTATTCCACTCCTGAAGTACTTACAAAAATTATCTGTGTGGCTTTATAAAGTTTTACATGGGGATCTCCTTCTCTTCTCTCCCCTCTCTTTTTAATCCTTCTATTCGCCTTCTCTGGTCCCTCACCTTAGGGTAGCCAAGCGTAAGTCTTTCCGGTTAATTTCTCTGCCTTCTCTCTTTCTGTTTGCTTCTTTCCTCCTCTCTATGAGGCGATCAAGATGCTACTGTGAAAAAAGTGGTGGTCAAGGTAATTACGGGAACACCTCGTGGACGTCCTAAGTGGGTCTTGCTTTCTAAAGTCGTGGTGCCAGCGAACCTTCGCGGCTTAAAAAGCGTACACGACCTACACAAGAAAGAATCGCAAAAAAAAAGAATGCAGGTGGTTAACCAGGCACATGCTTGCTCTGCTGGCTACCCCACTCTGGGGGAATGAGAAAAGAGAGTATAAAGACGAGAGAGAGGAAGAGACAGAAAATCACTTTTGACCCTTCCTGTCTCCCCTAACTCATGCTTATTCTGTATCCCATGCTTTAGCTGAGCTGCACTTGCAATGACGACGCCTGCACGCGCATAGGACTGGGGAAGCAGCCACGAAAACACCGAAACAACAATGGGCCAAAGTATGGAAGTGAAGGTGCTTTACTTACCATCTGTGGTGACAGTGCGGTGACGAACGAGATCCGTCTTGTTGCCCACCATAATGACGGCTTTGTGATCCACGTTGTCCCAGCGGTGTATCAGAGACAGATACTCCTTCGCGACCTTCAAACTGCTTCGACTGCAAACGTTGTAGACGACAAGGTACGCATCTGGACGATACATGGCCGCAGGGTTGAACAGCGTCGGTGGAGATCTCAACGCCTGGCACGGGTTCCTGGTATGCTGCAACTGCACGCAAGAAAGAGAAAAAAATAAGGGGGACGTGCCACGTACATTCGCTTTTTTTTTTCAAACCACAATGCCACAGACCGTTAGCAGCACGTGAACTGCGGTGGTGATAGGGGACAGTAAACCTTTTAAAAAACGAATGCATGGAACAGGAAGGGAGCACTGTCTGGTTCAGTTGCTACACTTGTGTGGCATGGTGATTAGGTTTACTTATTATTACACAGTTTTAGTGGTGCAGCAAGAGTGTGGCCGACCGGCAAATATTGCAAGACCACAGTCTCCATTCTTCATCTTTACAACTTGCCTCAATACTTTTTTAACCATTGTACTAATGGGTCACCCTCATCAATTTTGCTATCACTGTTGTTTAAAGGTACACTAAATAAGAAAAGAATTTTTCTCGTATTAGTAAAATACTCTTACCTCGTACCGAAAACAAAACGCCTGTTGCGAGGTGATGCTTCATGAGCGAGAAAGTGAGCAAAAAGAAAATATGGGTGGCGACACCACCTCAAAATTGCCGCACTATTAGCCTTGACGTCACGTGTTTTGATGGCGCTTGCAATGACTTATGTTCCTAATCGGTAAAAATGAAATTGATTGTCCTCTGATCGATTGATAGACTTAACATACCAAGTTTGAGGAAGGAAGGAAGGAAAATAGAAGGAAAAGAAAGGCAAGGAGGTTAACCAGCCTATAGGCAGCCGGTTTGCTACCCTGCGCATGGGAAAGGGATGGGAGAGATGAAAGAGAGCAGAGAGGGAAGAGAGAAACAGCACATTCGGCAGCACACGCGCGCACACTCAGTCATAGTCCAGTCTTGTCTTTCGCGGTGTGTGACATTGCTGTTACAGTCGCTTGTTCAAGTCGGTGTCGCGTAGGAATTTCAACAGAGCTTTCGTCGCCTTCTGTTGCAATGTCTTCTCACGGGCTACCATTAATTTGGCGCCATTGTCACAACGAAACTTCTTCATACCAAGTTTGAGGAAGTTTCGTTGTGACAATGGCGCCAAAGTAATGGTAAGTACAATTTCAAATTTGGGACATCTCACACGGACATTCAGGCGTGAAAAGAAAAAATAAAACTATGAACTTGAATTTCTTGTGTAAGTATGAACTTATGTTGACCAACTGAAGACATTAGAGTTCTCAGAATACGGTATGCTCATTTAAACCTATTCGTCCTTCTCTTTAGTGTGTAGTTAACAGGCACACACAGCTTTATTCGAAGAATCTCAGGGATTTCCGTAAGCTCTAACTGTTCGGTGTTTATAGGCAGTATTGTTGTTTGTTATTGTCCTTCAAATTTACGTAATAAAAGAGTTGACATTACGTGCGCACTGAACTACTGAAATGTTAACGTAATAAACTGTTAGATTGTATGCATGAATCCGTGAATGGAAGTAATGTACCATCCACCTATGGTAACCCGCATGAAGCTTGTCTCAGTTCGCGAAAAGAGCACTTCCCATCAAGAAGATTTATTTCGCAACATGTATATTTGATTGACGATTGATATGTGCGGTTTAACGTCCCAAAACCACCATATGATTATAAGAGACGCCGTAGTGGAGGGTTCCGGAAATTTTGACCACCTGGGGTTCTTTAACGTGCACCCAAATCTGAGCACACGGGCCTACAACATTTCCGCCTCCATCGGAAATGCAGCCGCCGCAGCCAAACATGTATATTTAGTGATAAAACCCTTAAGACGCTTGACGAACATGCAAATATAACTATGTGAGCATGATACAAAACTCTATGCACATTTTATCTCAAAAGATATATGAAGCGTGTTTAAATTGAAAAAAAAAAGAGCGAGAGCGTCGCAAATTATAGGAAACCACTGACAGTAATATTTTTTAGGGTTCTTATAAATACAGTCATGTGTGGAGTACGCCGACTCAAGGTTAGGTGAGGGGAAAACTAAATAAATCAACAGTACGCCAGTTTCTTCATGAAAGAACTCGACTGATTGAAAAGCACCTGCCATTGCTGCAACTGCTAAAGCAGGCGGTATGTTAACGCAATCTTCTCGAGACTCTTCTCGCATCGTTTATTTACTTGTTTTGCTTCCTTTCTTTTTTTTTTCTTTTGCCTTATGGAGAACGAGGCCCAACATTCTTTAAGACCAGTGGTGTAAGGTCTTATATGGCTGGCGACAGCAAGTATTTGTGTCTTCTGCATTTGTTTTCAGCATTCGCGTACATACTCACTTTACCTGTGTTCATTTTCATATAGCCAGAGTACTTTATGATTTTTTTTTTGTCAAGCCGTGGAGCTCCATCCGGAAGCTTTGAATAACTTTATTCTTTCCGAACAAAGGCTTTTTGCATGAGGACTTGAGCGTTACTGCGAGCCTGAATACAGAATTCTGGTTGAGCGTTTTTTCAGCAATGGTATTTTCTCTTAAAATTACTGTCGGAACGTTTTGCAAGCTTTCACGCTCTACATTTAAGAGCGGGCTGTGTCAACAGTGTTAGGTTTAAGACGAGATAAGTTTAGAATACATCTATTTTTCTTCCACAGTGCGTTATCTGTCGCGATGAAGACTTAGACGTATAAAAAGACGCTGAAAGATTCACATTCCACGTTTACGTTGAAGCTTTTATTTGAAATGCAGTATAATTAGTTTCACTGCAGGAAAAACTGTCTAGTTTAATTGTCACTAATTCGCTCTGCTGCAGTAATATCATTTTGAAATGTACGTAAGCCTTCGGTCAATCACACTATATATAAGTGTCCTCAAGTTTAAACTTACCAGTTCGTCTTGATGTACATGTTCGATGAAGATGAGCTCAGACTCTTCTCCGTTGAGGACCACCATGACGGATTTCTCATTCTCTTCATCTGTAAAAAAAAAAAACACGAAGGCCGGTGGTTAAGAACTGTAAGACTTTCACACTCAACATGCCAATGCGCATCAAAAATAAGGAAAATAAACAGAAAGTCGATGGTACATGGCTGCAGTGCCATGAATAGGATTCACGTCAGCCGTCGTGAACAACCGCGTTAAACTTTTGAAAATAGCTTCGCCTAATAAAAAAAAAATCTGAAGGAAAACAACGTTCACGAGCAAACCGTGCATAGATGGTGTCCTATATGTACCTGTTTCCTACCATGTTAAAATAACGAGGAAATAAATGAAAAGAAAAACCCTCCTGGGTTTTATGATTGCCGGTGGCTTCCCGAGAACAAATGCAGGGAAAAGAGAGTTATTTCGCAAACGGTGCTCGCATCAAATAAATGTTTTCGAGAGAACGCATTCGTAAACAATCTCGCGTTACCAATACGGAAAACGACCAGAACCATGGCTCTACCGCTTCGTAGTGGCGTAGAATTTTCCATCTAGCCTAGTGTGTCAAGCGTCGAAATCTTCCACTTGGACGAATGTCATTCCATTTTTTTTTATGGGAATTAATTTTTCAGCCCAAACGTCGCTAAAATATCGCAAGCCGGCTGTTCATAAGCTGCACGCCATAGACTTACTATTTCTTTCATAACATCAGGGGCCAAACCCTGCAGATATTTGCTAGATCGGTCTCCACGAAAATAATAGAAAAAAAAGAATCCTTTGCCCGATCACAACATGCCACGGCTATACTTTTAAGACGCATTGCCAGCAAAACGGCTGCTAGAGAGCTGCTTCCGCTTGAACAAAAACTTAAACGTGGCTGCAAAGACACGAAACTGCTTTGTACCCCCCCCCCCCCTTTTTTTTTCGTGAGCGCAGCTCGGGAACTTCATTGTCAGTCAGAACGTCGAACTTCATTGTCAGTCAGAACGTTACTCGCTTGTTTGCCTCTCTTTCTCGCACAACTCCTTCAAACAACCGGCACTCTGATCGGCAGGTGCACGGCAGTGTAAAACGAGTGAACCAACTGAATAGAAAAAGCACAGAAAGGAGACAGGGAGCAGCACTGCTATTCCCAGAACGCGAAGTGTAATCGACAGGTCTCTTTGGCACACTCTCATGGATTGGGCATACAAATAGAGCGAAACCACTGTTCCAGCCACAGAAACAAGCACCGGAGATGATGTGCGTGCAGCTTGAGCAAGGACGCGCCTTTGTATATCACGCGATATAGCGTACCGAGAGAAAACAGCCCGGTGGCGGCTGTCAGCGCGGCGGTGGTGGCGCGTCATTGGCTCGCACGGCGCTGTAAAATGCGCAGGCGCACATCGAAGCTCAGGACGATCCGCACCGATACAAGGCATTAAATATAGTCCTGTCTCGCCATTTGCACAGCGCTAATTTTGGACGACGGGGTTGAAGAAAAGAAGGTTCTCCGGGCAGAAATAGTGGAAGCGCTGGGCCAAACAAAAAACATTTCACGCGCCGCTTTATTTTCGTCGCCAATTTTCTTTTTTCCGCCAGTCCTCTGGCCACGATGTGAAACTGAACAGAGACTGCTTTGACTATGAGCACGTGTGAGCTCCTCAAGAGCAAAATACGAGGAGAGATTAGCGAGAAAGGCGAAGTGGAGCTTGGTTCAAGGCTGGGATATCATGCTTGCGTCGCATATTGTCAAGTAAAGCAGTGGGTGAACGAAATACGGGAGCGAAAAAAATGGCGACAGATGAGAGTGCCGTTGCCAAGAGCGGACAAACTTAAAAAAGGGAGTGGCAAAAAGATGACTTATAAGTATGTTGAGAGCGCTCGTGACCTGTGATGGCATGCAGAGACAAAATAAAAAGTCTACTGGTTTATTCTAAACGTAACACCTGATACTGAAACATAATGGGAAAGACTATACAACGGTAACGGATGAGATGAATTTAATCTGCCACAAAAGTTGAAGTGATAAGGTATACCTCCGATCACCCACGAAATCGGTGGAATTAAAGTAAATATGACGTCACTATTTTGAAAAATCGAGTGGAGAATAAATGAAGATAAATTCGCAAGCTTATCACGTAATGATGGTGCGTGAGGTTTACCAATATTGTTTTCTCGCGATGAGACTAGTTGGCAACAATTGACACTGTTACATGTTTTCTGAACAGAGAGAGAGTAATATGTCCACTATGCCATCGTGGTTACGAGCCCTTAATAGACGTTGTGTATGCCTCTCAGAGGCATCAAGCTAGATATGTTGCAATATACCATAGATATATTGCATGTTTGAAAGATATGGGCCAATCGTATACGGAAAATCTCGCATAACCGAAACGACATAGTGGACATATTATTGTCTTTGTTCAAAAAACTGGTGTACATTATCAGTTGTTACTAGCAAATCTAATCGTGAGAAAGAAATATTGTTAACATCACGTGCTGTCATTACTCTGCAAAAAAAAAAGTGGGGGGGGGGGAGAGACTTTACCAACATTGATGCGCGATAAGCTCGTAAAGTATCGAATGTATTTTTATTGGATTTTTAAAGGTACTGAAGGTATATACTTCAATCGCTATAGCCATAGGATTGACACGCTGCCGTTACTTCACGGCGCGGCGTGTCTGAGAGTGTAAGTTTCTTCGCATTGTGCTCTGCGAATAGCAAGCATACGAAGGCAAGCCTTCGTGAGTTGCCAGAACATACGACCTAGGTAGAACGGGTGAAGCGTCACTTCAACAAGCTCCAATTGAGGCCACGGTTCATTGTCCAAGTTTAACTTGTTTCTAAGCTTCCAATAATGAATAAAATTTTGTTCGTGATGGCTCTTACCAATGGGCGTTTTTGGTGAGGTCTCTCCCCGAACCCGACCAAAAAGCCAAGCTGGTTCACTATGCGGGCCAATTAGCGGCGACTGCCACTGCGTGGACGGCGCGGCATCTTGATGGCGACATCTTGCAGCACGAGCTCATCAGCAGTGTATGTCGCAAAAGCAGTAGCGCAAGTCGTAAAACAAATGTGAACCACGGTTTTGGCAATACTCATCGGTATACATACTGTTACTTCGTGCATGTCTGTGACCGAGCACCTTATCCTCGGCACCGGTAGTTTGTACTATTTTGAATCTTTGGGCTAAATTTAGACGCATGTTAATCTTGGAGCAGCAAGATTCCCTGGAGGATGGGGCCAAGCCCTGGGCCACAATTCAGTGCGCGCGGCCCACTACAAACATAGCCGTTGTGTTTGCCTCGGCTTCATGCTGGAGCAGCACGCAGATATACGGCACGAAACTCGGTCAGGGCTGAAAGGGAACTGGAGCCCCCCTCTTCAGGGCCCAGCTCGATTGCGCCAAGCAATCAGAAAGACTTGAAATGACTTCAGAGGGGTACAGGAGAGCCAGGTTCGCTTTCGAGAGCGTCGTCTGCCAGGGACGGCTTCGGCATCGGCTGCGGCACCACTTGGACAGGTGATGCTGCGCTGTTTTTTTTTTTTATTGCGACTGGTTTTATATAGAAGGGTGGCTACCGGGGTGGCTCGGGATCTGGTTACTGCATTAACTATGCCATTATTCAATGACACGGCTACAAGATCCAATGGAAGAGCAAGAGTAGCCTTGTGACTGAATTCTGGACTCGCTTGAGGTGCTAGTGTACTCGGCAAACAATCATACATAACCTGACGCAAGACAGTGGTAGTGAACTAGCCACCACCCGTATGCTCTTAACCATAATTCTATCACTTCACTGTGGACTCATTTAAGTGGAGTTTCTATTAGTAACAAGTATAGCCCTGTTCTCATGTTACAGAACATTTACTGGTGCTAGTTAGCTCGTTTCGTTCTAAAGCGCGACCTATATGCTCAGTTTTGTTGTTTCTGTTAAATGCGAAGCATTTTTTAGCGAACATCGGCGACTTTTACCACATCTATCTATCTATCTATCTATCTATCTATCTATCTATCTATCTATCTATCTATCTATCTATCTATCTATCTATCTATCTATCTATCCATCTATCTATCTATCTATCTATCTATCTATCTATCTATCTATCTATCTATCTATCTATCTACGAAGTTTAGCTCTCCTGGCCGTTTCAATCATGTTATCTTTACCAAGATTGGAATGCCACAACATGACTGTATGACGAGCATAACTGACTAGTCATAACACGAAAATTATCACATGCATGTAGCCAATGTCAAAATTTGCATTTCTTAGTCTAGCTGCTCTTGCGGTGGTTTCATTCACATGAGAGACATGAGATGTTGCAAAACTGGTGAGGTATGACATGACTGCGTGGCCAACTAAAGTGACAGACCCTAACGTAGAAATCATGACATGCATGTCATTTAAATCACCACTACATGCCACGCTCTTGATGCGCTCAAGGCTGTTTCGCTGGCTTCACATATACCAAATTTGGGTATTACTTGACGTGAATAGACGAGGAAGGTAAATTACACGTCTAAACATAACAATCAACTTGCGTGTCATGTAAAACATGACTGCATACCACGCTCATAGCGTGCACACGGCAGTTTCACTAGCTTCAAAAATAGCAAATTTGGTATTAAGTGCCATGAATGGACGATGAACATAAATGCGAAGCGCAAACATGCTAAACATGACATGGAAGTGATGTACAGCATAATTTACGTCCGCCTCGTAACGTTTTGCTGACTTTAAAGCGACTTGAAAGCGATTTATTTGTGCTTCGCGTATCATCAATTCCCACTGAACGTGGCATCTGCCAATTTTTGTTGAAATAAAAAATAAACGAAGGAGTTGTCCCTATTATTTGAAGATGGCTACCCCTTTCAACTTGTTTGTTACGAATTACAAACAATACTTACATAGATATATGTGTGTACAGCCGTCAGCACCTTTAACACGAACACTCCGCCGCGTGTCCTGCAGCAAGTGGATTAACGCTGATACCACGTATACGTTTGGGTTCTGTTGCCAAGATGCTAACCATACACGCCGACAAACTATCCAAGCCTACCGAGGT